CTAGTGGGTTTGAACCACTCACCTTGTGCTTATATAATTTCTGTTGCCTTGAAAACCTCTTGTATTGATTTCTTATTATAATTTGTCTCTTGTCTCTAAATTTTAAGGCATGTTTTCCTTTAATTCTTTGAACATATTAATAGTAGCTTTGTGGTCTGCTAAATTCAATATCTGGGGACACTTGGGTACTGAGTATTCTAATGGATTTCTAAATTCGGTAACAATAATGAAAGCGGACTGTTGTGTTTGATAGGATTAGGTGATTGTACTGAACAGTAGACAGAATCCCACCCCAGATGCCTGGTAGTAATTTTCGTTTATCAGGCTTGTGGAAACTTTCAGTGTTCCCGCATCTGTTAGTATGTGTACTGACTACTTTCAGCTTTTATTGCTGAAACATCACAATGTAAACTCCGTTTTACTGTGGCCTGAAGTTCTGGTGTTTTTAGTATTGTACTCATAGAAAAAAGAAACTCTTTTTTGGTTTTCACTTTAACTTAAAAACAAGTGGGGAGAGCAGTTACAGCCCTGACTCATTTTTTGCAAGTACTGAATTTACATGTGTAGGTTTATAAATGATATCGCACCAGGACACATTTTTACAAATACAGAAATTTCCTACATTGCAGGAGTTGTTCACTTCCTCTGGGACACTCGCTTCTTTTGTAGACTTTGTGTGGCTACCCAGCATCTAGCATCAGGGTGTTGTTAAATGCAGTCAAGTCGGTTCCGACTCCTAGTGACGCCGTGCGCACTGCCGCTCCTGCACCAGCCTCACTGTTGCTGCTACGCCTGAGCACATTGCTTCTGCCACTGTGCCAATCCATTCACTGGGGTCACCCTCTTTTTCGCTGTCTTTCTACTTTAGCAAGCACGATGTCCTTCTCCAGGGACTAGTCCCTCTGATAGCATGTCCAAAATAAGAGAGTAATGTGAATCTGTAAGAAAATAGATGGGTTTTCTTATGGAGGTGAGAGTGAGTGTTGAAATCTGTTGAGTCCTCTCCGAATCCATGACGACGATGGCATTTTGTGATTATGCTTATTCTTGCCAACATAGGATATTAAAGACGATGACAACTTTCCTTCTTTAAAGACTAAGACGTCTCTCACATCCTCTGGTGGACTTTGCACATTCAATATTGCCCGATTTACGTTAGTGACCAGTGGCCACAATTTAGCATTTCTTAGCGTGGCGCTGCGTGTTTTAAAATTCAGAAAGGTGTGCGACAAGGTTGTATTCTTTCACCATGCTTATTCAACCTGTATGCTGAGCAAATAATCCAAGAAGCTGGGTTCTACGAAGAAAAACATGGCATCAGGATTGGAGGAAAACTCATGTTTGGTAAGGTGTAGGGTCAGAGAAAAAGAAGAAGACCCCCAACGAGATGGATTGACTAAGTGGCAGCATCGATGGACTCAAGCGTGGCAACAATAGTGAGGTTGGCCCAGGATTGGGCAATGTTTTCTTTCCGCTGTGCATAAGGTTGCTATGGGTTGGTACCGATTCAATGGCACCTAACAACAGCAAGTGTGGCGCTGCAGGATAGTGCACTAGAAAGCGAGGTCAGTGTGAACCACAAGGTTTGTGGTTCAAACTCACCACTTGCTCCTTGGAAACCCCATATAAGGTCGCTATGAGTCAGAATCAACTTGATGGCACTTAACAACCACAAGTAGCTTCCTACAAGCAGCCCTGGCCACGTAATGGTGTCTCGATTAAGTGATCTTACTCCATCACGGACAGAGTTGAACATTACTCTTGGCTGGTCTCGCGCAGGTCGCTTTGAGGAAGAATTCATCAAAATGCGCATGGAGAGACTGCAGGCCTGGGTGACCAGGATGTGCAGGCACCCAGTCATCGCAGAGAGTGAGGTCTTCCAGCAGTTCCTCAACTTCCGGGACGAAAAGGTAGGAGGTGTTACGACAGCAATCTTAGAGGTCATTAGGGTCTGTCATGTTCACACTGAACTCATGTCTGAATGGAGCTGCAAATGTGTTGGTTCCCTGGTTATGCCTCATTTCCTCCAAAGACAATGAGAAGACAGAAACCTCTTCCCAACCCAGGATATTAGTCAGGAGATGTGAGTCAGGGGAGATGAAAGAATTCCCTGCCCAAATGTTTCCCAGAAACCGGTGTAAAACTCAGCCCAGGGTGGGCAGGGGTAAAAGGTAAGGTGGTGGTGTTATTTGTAAAGTGCCGTCGAGCCTGTTCTGACCCATAGCAGCAGCCCTGTACAGGGTTTCCAAGGAGCGGCTGCTGAGTTTGAACGACCAACCTTGTGGTTCAAAACAACCTTGTGGTAAAGTGCTTATCCTACAGTGCCACTATGAATTTTCCTTGCATGCATTAAAATCTAGGAAAGTTCC